CTTTTTGATAGCCGGGCACCATCAGCTTTCTTCGCCACGTTTGCTTATGCACCCATTTGTTGAAACAGCTCAAATTTCCATCAACAGAAGAATGGATTACAAAACTGTGGTACATACATGCAATGGAGTATTAGGCATCCCTACAAAGCAGTGATGAATGCATGAAGCACATCGCAGCAGGAGAAGAACTGGAGGAAATTATGCTAAGTTAAGTAAGCCAAGCACAAAAGGACAAGTACAACATGAGTTCACTGAGGTAAGCTCAAAATCTCCAAAAGGGGCATAGGGAAGAAACTACTGTATACATGCATAATATGGCAGGGACCAGACTAAACTCAGGGATACATATGGTAGCCCACTCAAAAGGATGGGGTGAGGGGAATGACATGGGTAGCTGGGGGAACAGGGCACTACCCCACACAGGGGGAGGGCATTGATTGTGTCTCCACAGGGAAAGATGGACCAGACTTCAACCCGGAGCTCCAAGACAAGAACACAACACACTGACACGAAGCAGGGAACCAATAGAGAGGCCTGAGGGGCCGGCCCCAATACCAACTAAGTGAACAACTAATTCTCCCCACCAGAAGAATTCACTTCAGAGGACAGCACTGACGCTCCAGCTCAAGGAGAGGCTATGCTGCTTTAAATAGCATTCCCACAGATTCTCCCCTCACAGCTCTGCAGCCTTAAAGTGAGCACGTGGTTGATGTCATCTCCTGCAGAAGTAGACACCCTGTTGCTATCTCTTCCACTGTGTCACCCAACCCCCCTCATACCTTCCCCAATGCAGGTATTAGTTTTCCTCACCTGTGAGCTCAGGGACCTTACTGTAGATTCCACCCACCTTGTGATGTATGTAACTACTGAATATGCATGTCCTGTGGCTACCTGTAAATATCCCAAACAGTAAAGATTTCTCCTCTCTTCTCCCACCTCCACGTGGACCACCAAGAGGGGCTGAGATGAGCATACTACCATAAAATGTGTTGGACCCCTTGATTTTATTCTCTCTCCAAACTCTCCTATTCTCTGTGACTTTACCATAATCTTTATATATTATAACCATGCAATTGTGCCTTCAGTTGTTAGACGCTGGTTTCCTGTGACACACAACTATATGAGATATTTCCTGAAAGTTTATGAGTTTCTGTGAGACATGGCAGCAAATCTCAGAACCCAGGAACATGATGAACTATATTCAAAGGATGAATGGGGCGGGGTGTGTGTGTGTGTGTGTGTGTGAAAATAGTGCAGAATAGCCACTATTTGGATATTTGGAACACCTTTTATTCCAGCTCCTTGGGACTAGTCTGGTATTTATTCTTCTAAAAGAAATGATGACCACATAGCTTGTTTCTATATTTACTGTCTCTTCAGTCAGACTTTAAACTTCTGCCAGGACAGAGATATTGCATCAAAATAATATTTCCAAAGGTTTCTTATGTTGTTGCTCAATTTCTGTGGTACCATATCAGATTCTTGTCACCCAGGGCTAGTGCTCTATTTACCCAAGGACCTTGAGTTTATATAACAGCACAGGAAACCCTCTAAGACTTAGGATCACTGTGCATAAGGACCAATTCAAGAGCACATAAAAACAATAACCTTCACACCGCAGCACATATGTGGCCTCAATGAATCAGGGAGACTTGACAACAGGTAAAGACCACAGCGAACCTTCACACCACAGAAATCCAAGCATTCATTACATCAGCAGGTACATTCCCCTAGCTTCAGTTTAGGGTCCAGTGTCCAGTACATGGCACCAGAGACAGTTGGAGAAATAGGCCACAGATCTACCTCATGGAGCAATTTAAACATGTAAGGCTGGGAACATTGAATTTGCCCCATATCACATTCCCCCAATTCTGCATGAGGCAGATATTTTTTTCTTAAATGTCTTATTACAAAATAATATATTGGAGGCAGAGAATAAACACCAAGAAATGGGCTTCAAACAATTAGTTCAAAGTTTAAAGTATTGCTCTCAGCTATGTGATGGGTTAGAGTTTCAGAGAAAAAAATTTAAATAACTTTATTAACCTTCCCAAGGTTTCATCCTTTGTAGCAAAAACTACTCCCAGAACAGTTTAAATATACCTTTAAGGGGGTCCTCCAACAACCAGAGGAACTCTGGTGGCTTATTGTTTGCTCGTTGGGCTGATAACTGCAAGATAGGCAGTTCAAAATCACCAGCTGCTCTGCTGGTAAAAGATGGGCTTTCTATTCTCCTAAAGAGTTACAGTCCCAGAAACTCACAGGGGCAGTTCAATGGTGTCCTATAGGGTGACTATGAGTTGGCATGGACTGGATGGCAGTGAGTTTTTGGTGAACCACCCAATCTAGAATCACAGGAAGTGACCTCTCTCATTCCACTCCCAAGAAGGGCTATCTAGCCAAAGATCTCTAGGACCAACCCGTAAGAAAACCATTAGCCCAAAAGTCGAGGAAGACAAGTCCCGGGACCTACCTTTGTGAAAGCCTGCAGTATCTCTGTGTGTCTGAAGAGTGCTGGAAGAGGCTCCAACCAAGTGCTTCCTGGTTCCTCGCCACAGATACAACTCTCTTCTCTAAATCACGGAACTTTAGATGTGCAATCTCCTTCTAGCACTTTGTTTGTTTGTTTTTTCTAAATTCAAGTCTGAGATTTTCTGAGAAGCACAACTACTTCCCTTGCAAGGGATGTGGCAAGAGATAACTGATTTTGTGTCCCCAATATGGGTGTGGATGCCTATTGTGAAATTTACTGAACAAGCAGTGGCTGCCTATGCATACAGGCATACATGCCTATACACACAGTGTTTGTACAAAAGAATAGAGGTAATTACCATGGAAATCTGTCGTTGAGCATTTGTTATGTGTCTGATTCTGCTCAAAGATGTTTATACACAGAGAGTAAATTAATGATGTTTAGAAATCATTTGAAAAGTCCCTTTTTCAGAATTTCACATATTTTCACATACCCCCTCTTGTATATCTGGAGAATTATGTATCCCCATTTTAAAAACAATTTAAATGTTTTACTTACATGAAATCCCATCAATGGAAATCCATTTTAAAATTATGCCTTATGAGCTTCCATTTAATTATGACTGGTCATAGAACAACCAGTTGTCTGTCTGTGAATAATTAACACAACAGTTTTCTAAATACCCGGTATCATATAAAGAGGCTAGCCTTTGACTAAGACAAAATAATTCCAAAAGTTTATTACATGAACTTGTGATTTTTCTGAGCTGAATAGTCCTCATGTGTAAGATAAAAACAGCACCTACCCAATATAAAGCAAGAACAGAATGGCTGCTAGTCCTCATTTATTCAACACTGACCTAGTAAACAATCACTATGGCTGAAGTAGTATGTATGTTACATGATTCAGACAAGATGGTGAGAAAAGATAGACACACTCTGGGTCTCCCAAAGAATTTACAGACCCCTGAACAGTACAAACAAGTAAACAGAACATTATAATACTGAACAATCAGTGCCTTATAAGGTAAGGTAATGTCCTACGCAACCTCTTAGTATGATCAATAAAATCAACTCTGTGGAAATAGAGGAGACTTCCTAGAGAGGGAAACACCTGATTTCAGACCGGAAGACGGAACAACACAAGGGATGAGTAGTGTTCCAGATGGAATCAGTACAATGAAGAAAACTCGAAGTTCTAAAAAGAAAATCATGATGCATCCAAGAAACGGAAAGAGCTTCATAATTCCCAAAGAAAAGAACAGAAACACAGCGTAAGAAGAGAGCACTCAGGCCATCTGTTGGTATTGAAATGTAATTTTACGAGTAGTGGCAATGAACAAAGAGTCTGCAAATGAATGAGTGAGTTAGATTGTTTGGGTTTTTACTGTGTGTCAAGACACATTACCTTTGTAGGACAATTTGGGTTTTCATTACCGAGCAGCGAAGTAAAATTCAGGAGTATGCCCATTTTCCAGAAGATTAAACTGAAGCTCAGAGATGTTCACACAGTTGGTGTAGGTGAGATTAACATCTAGTTTTCTCCAATTTGGGAGACTGTATTGTCTGACACACTCTGGGATTCTCATTCTCAACATGACAACAAAATATACTTCCAAAATATTGCCTGACTACCATGTGAAGCAATAATCAGAAGAAACAATTCTAAAATTATGGTGTTGGGCTCATGAAAATAGCAGTTCTCAAGGGAAGAGATGATGGTTACCTGAATCATCACTGGTACTAATGAAAATAAATAAAGTTAAACAAGTTTGAAAGATGTTTAAAACTGAGATGACAGTGTTTTGTGGTAGAATAGATGTAGGATGAGGAGGAAGGATAAGAAGGAACAGACTCTGGTTTAGATGACTAGATAAATTATATAAGGGAACAAGAATTGACAGGTACAGATTTGGTGGATAAATAGTAAAATTGTGAGCATGTTTACTTTTGCTGTGCTAGGGCAGTGTAGCGAGGTTGACGGAAGTTACAACTGGCATAAGCTAGAGTGTGAACATGGCTATAGTTGTACCCACTGTCATAAAGTCAATTCTGAGTTACAGAGGCACTTCAGGACAGTGCAGAACTGCCCCTTTGGATTTCTGAGACTTTTTACAGTGGCAGACAGCCTCATCGTGCTCCCACAGAGCAGCTGGTGGTTTAGAACCACTGACCTTACAGTTAGTAGTCCAATGCATAACCCAGTACAACACACCAGGACTCCTTGGCTATAGATATAGACTCATACTCAATGCAGAAGGATGAAGGCACCCAAGAATTTTGGCAGAGACACAAAAGACCAAAGTCTTTGAGAGAATTTAGGATTAAACTAGTATTTAGAGAAGGGGAGATCACAGGAGAAATCTGAAAGGTAGCAGGCAAACAGAAAAACTAGTGTGGTAAAATCAAGTCTACAGAGAATTTCATAATTCTAGAGCAGTGGTTTTCAGCCTTCCTCATGCCGTGACCCTTTAATACAGTTCCTCATGTTGTGGTGACCACCAACCCACAAGCATAAAATTATTTTCGTTGCTACTTCATAATTGTAATTTCGCTACTGTTATAAATCAGGCAACCCTGTGACAGGGTGGTTCGACTTCCAAAGGGGTCACGACCCACAGGTGGAGCACTGCTGTTCTAGAGGGAAGGTTGGATTCAAGATGTTAGATTGAGGAGTGCCAACCTCCCAGTGGATACATTTCGTGATGTGACCAAATGGTTAGAGATGCCACTACCAAGAAGTGCTTTTGAGGAATTATGAAGAATAGATCCAGTGAAAATGAGACCTGATAGAGAAGCAAGCATAGATTCATTCAAGTCCAAAGTGAGCATGTTAGAACACAAACACCAAAATAAGAGCAAATACAGAGTCTAAGTTCAGTGCCCTAAAATACAAATAGTGTGGGGTTCTCGGTGTGTGTGTGTGTGTGTGTGTGTGTGTGTGTGTGTGTGTGTGTGACATATCCTGGGGAAGCTGCTGAAGTAATTGATTAGTTAAACAATGTTGAAAACAGCTTCCTCAACCAGGTGTCTCGCAATAAGTCAAAAAGAATGAGAACTGTTTTCCGAACAAAATGACAGTTCTGCTCAAGGTGAATGCATGCAGGACAGAGCAAGGGATTCTTTCACACCTTCTAAATAATAGGGGATAAATTTTTAAAAAAGGAAGAAGGGAATCATGGGATTGATCCCTAAGTAAAAGCTTCATGTTCTCCATCTAAGGTCCCTATGGGTCCGAACCAACTTAGTGGAGCCTAACAACAGAAGTCCACGCTGCACTGAAAGCATTGTGGGGTGAATATGGCATCAGGAATGGATGGAACACTGAGTGAGATGTTTCAACAAACCCATGCCACACAGAAAGGCTACCTCATCTATACCAAGAAATTTAGAAGAGAGCTACCTGGCAAAACAAAGGAAAGGTCCGTATTTGTACCTATTTCAGAGAAAGCGTAGTTGGTGGGTATGTACCATTGGGCTGATCTGACCCACAGCGACCCAATGCACAACAGAGGGAAACACTGCCAACTGCTGCTCCACCCTCACAACGGTTTCTATGCTTGAGTTCATTGTTGCAGCCAGTGTCAACCCCTCTCCGTGAGGGCCTTTCTCTTGTTTCACTGACTCTAAAACGCGCTGCGCTACAAGTCACAAGGTCTGAAGTTTGAAACTACCAGCAGAAATGGGGAACCCATTGAAATGATCAACGTACAA